AGTAATGGAGGGAGTGCTTCGCATTGTGAAAGTAGGAACACACGAGAACGCAGCGGATGCGTTGACCAAGTATGTCAGTCGTGAAAGCATGAGCGCACACCTACGAAACACGAATCAATGTGCATTAACAGGTAGGCATGAGCTTGCGCCAGCTACCGAATGTTGATGTTCGCAGCTCATTTCTGTCAAGCAAACTGCAGCTATTAAAGGCCTTCTCCACCCATTACCTCTTACTCTTGGGCGTGAACGAAGGCATGGCGGCTCCCCAGGTCAACCTCACCATTAACGGCTCCATGGTCGACCAGAGCCCGGCTGGGGATGGACCGGTTACGCGTGAGAACCTCAACCGCCGTGTTGACGACATCGTGCACGTTGCTCACGCGTTTACCGTAACCCTCACTAACATGGCGATCAACTTTCACGGAGCCTACGACAAACACGTTGACGAGGTGCAAAGGGCCGCGGATGACATGGCGAAGAGGATCGAGGACTTAACGCGGCAGAACGAGGCGCTGATCCAGTCCAGTGACGACGTCAACGAGAATCTCCAAAGGGCGCAAGCGGAGATTAACGCTCTGATGGCGACGATTACGGACCTGAACATCCAGAATCGTGACTCGGGGGTTAACACGGCGGAGAATGCAACCAAGTATAGGCGCATCAACGACAACATTGGTTACCTCCTGAACACCGCCAAGCGCCTTACCGAGAACATCGCGCCCCTGCAGGACTTCGAGGGTAAACGATATGCGGCACTGCGCATGTTGGTGGGAGTAACCGAGCGGCTCGAAGGATTACAGAAGTTCTTGCATGACCCGAACAACTCCCCGGTTACCATCATCCCGCAGGTGCCTCCGCCGTTACCCGAGCTGCCCCCAACGGCAGTGGCCGCCAAGGCGCCTCCCACTGCAGTCAACGCGGCGGCCGAGGCCAGCAAGCCTCTAGCCCGAGCTGCCGCGGCCTCGGGTGCACCCCCGGCTCGGGGCTTTACCGGCACCACGCCCAAGACCGGAGGGTTCGGTCGATCCGTGTCGCCGAATAAGATCCCGCAGTCAACGTCGCCTCAACCTGTTTACAAGAAAGCACCCAAGGCCATGCATGAGCGTAAACGGGAACTGGAAGAGTTACCGCAGATGGGAATGAAGATGGATGAAGATCGTGCGCAGGGCAGTCAACGTGACGAAGTACCAAAAGGTCCTGCCCCAGTGGTGAACGCGAGGGCGCCCAAGCCGCCTCCTCCAGGCCTTGGCGGGTCAGGTGCATCGAGCAGTGTTAGCGGCATGAATCCCCCGCCTCCTGTGCCCAAGAAGTTATCGACCCAGTACGTTCCTCCGCCGCAGCCTCAAGCTGTTAACCGTACGGACGAGCAGCTTGCGGCATGCTCGCGGAACGTTGCCAGGGGCATGTACCGCCCATTGTACCGCGTCAACGGCCGCATGCCTATGGTGAACGACAGGAGCGAGGACCACGACGTCAACTACAAGGTGGAGCCCGACCCCAGGGAAGTAGTCGCGTTAACGATGAAGACGCGCGAGAACTGGCGCAGGTTCGAAGGCAACTTCGTCGGACATGTGGCCAAAGAGGGGTTAACGACTCCCGGTGGTCGGTCTTTTCAGGGCAACGCGGGGCGGGAGCTTAACGACTACGATGAGGTGTTCGTCGACATTTACGGGCAGCACGCTTACGGCTTCCTCGGTTACTCAGTGTTGAAGGGCCCGTGCAGCTGGAGATCTCAGTTGACGGAGAAGGAGCTGGCCAAGCACGACGAGTGGGTTGACGCGGTCGGGCACGTACAATCCCTGTTCGACGACGAGTACGTGCCGCCAATCCACGTTGACGATCTCCACCCAGTGTGGTTCGACGTTCACAGCTGCCCAGATACACAGGTTTACGTCAACAAGGTACCAGAAATGAACGAGAAGCAGCTTAACGGCCTTCTGCTAACGTGGGCAGGGATGCTGCCCCACGGCAACCCCACCGTGGTCTCCGTTAAGCACCTGGTGGAAGACACTTACGGGCCGCACGGTTACATCTCAACTGGGGTTACCGTGATCAGGTTTGCGACGCACGACCTTGCCAAGCTCTATTGCCGTTACATGAACGGGCTCCAGGTGTATTACCGCAACTACTTCATCGAGGATCTCGAGGTCAGGAGCACCGAGGAGTTAAAGGGCAGCATCAACAAGCCTCCGGTTTACTGGCACCAGACCATCCTAGACGTCGCTCTTAACGATCAGGGGTCCACGAGGGCACTTTACCGTGACAACTGGCCTGCTGATCACATCACCGAGCGTAAAAGTGACCACCGCGAGAAGCTCTGCTGGTTTGGATGGTTGCCGTGCGACGACTTCCCCAACTGGCTTACCGACCCGGCCTGGACTGTGAACCCGTTTACCGGAGTTGCGGTCGAAGAGCACCTCCGCAACAATCCAGGTGGTGAACCTCTGCTGAAGGCCCCCCACGCCAGTTGCTGGAGGGCCATCGGCACTTACCACAACATTGTTGACGGGTCCACCAAGAGCTTTGACGAGGGGTGCTGGCTGGACGACGAGGAGCGCATTAACGCGTACCTGGACACCGACTATTACAGCCCGACGCAGGCCCTTAACAGGGTGTCGTCCTATACGGCGGCCAGCGTGGGGCACCGTGGTTTACCGAAGTCCAGGGGCGCGCGTGCTCCGTCAGCGAGGCGCCCGCGCCGCTCGTAAACGGTGACAGGTGACCGGCATGCTTTTCTTTTACGCTCTCCCTCATCTCCCCTCTCAACCAGGCTTAACAATAGCGTTGCAGTAGACTATTGAGCTGAATCTATATGCATGTGCATCTTTTATAGTTACCGCAGGTATTGGCGCATAAAAAGCAAAAGCAATAAATGCTAGCCTGCCATGTGAACTTTTGATGCTACATTTAAACTCGTAACTGCTTGAATGTTTACTTGAGCTCATGTTGCATGTCTGAGAGACGTGGTGCTCGTGAACGTTGTTACGAGATATTTCGAATTCGGTAATATAACGATGTCCATACAGCCTGTTGCTTGATTTAACCTGTCTTTGCGTTTAGAGGCACCTCCCCGTCAGCCAATGCGGACTGGCGTCCGAGGGGAGGTGTTAACATGCAAGCGTGCGGGTGACAGGGGAGGAATACCAACCCTGCTGCCTTTGGCTCAAGTGTTTAACGGTCGAAGCTACATAGACCTGCTTTGCCGTTCGGGAGTATAAAGGTGACCTATCGTTATCGTTATTGCCAGGCTCCCGTGCAGAACCCTCCTCGGGGTTTTGCAGGAGGAGGAGGATGAGGACCAGTGTAAACGCAAGAGTTGCCAATGATGTTGGAATAACCCCTCCCCCAGGCTCCCTCTTCACAGGCCCCAACAAGGGTTCATTTGCACTGAGGGAACTACCTCGTTGCAAGGCAACCGTTTGAAGACCCTGAAGCGTGCCAAAACTTTGTTCTTGGGATTCCAGCACAATGGATGAACTTGACCGTTGCGTCTTGACGTTCCTGCATCGTGCCAAATCGTCTTTCCTGGGACTTGAACACCGCGAACCAGTGTAACTGTTGCACCCTCATAATTCAGAGTTCTTCCACAACATCATTTCCAGTACGTTGATCATGGGAGCCCGTCAAACTTTTTCTTGCACATTTGAAGCAGGAATGTGCGCGGCGTTAAGGCGACAGCCACATGTTGAAAATAAACAGCCCTCAATCCGTGAAGCTCTTGCACATTTGAAAACGAGCGTACGTGGCGCTAATACGAGTTCCACATTTTGGGACATGAAATCGCCCTCAATCCGTGAAGCTCTGGCAAATTGTATAAAACACGAGTGTGCGTGGCGCTAAGGCGATAACCAAATTTTGAAAGCCACCCGCCCTCAACCCGTGAAACTCCTTGCAATTTGTTAAAAGGAATGTTTGTGGCGCTGAGGCGAGAGCCACAATTTGAAAAGCACTCGCCCTCCATCTGTGAAGCTGTTGCCGACTTTTATGCTTCAGGGTTATATATGGAGAGGAAGTCTCAGGCGAAACGCCCGTTCCGCCCTAACAACTGGCCTCGGGGTGCGACAGGGAGCAGTTATGTATAAGGAAAACGAATGGAGGAGGAGGAGGAGGCGGAGGAGGAGGAGGAGGAGGAGGAGGAGGAGGAGGAGGAGGCGGGAGGATGCGGAGGCGGAGGAGGAGGAGGAGGAGGAAGAGGCGGAGGAGGAGGAGCAGAAGGAGGAGGAGGCGGAGGAGGCGGAGGAGGCGGAGGAGGCGGAGGAGGAGGAGGAGGAGGAGGAGGATGAGGACGAGGACGAGGACAAGGAAGAGGAAGAGGAATAATATTAATATGTACATCAATAGTGACAATACGACTTTTAGTAGTAGTAGTAGTAGTAGTAGTAGTAGTAGTAGTAGTAGTAGTAGTAGTAGTAGTAGTAGTAGTAGTAGTAGTAGTAGTAGTAGTAGTAACAATAATATTAAGAATATGACTACTAATAACATCAGCATGCTAGTAAGAAAAAACAGAAACATCACACATAAGCATAAGCAACAACCGAATGATAATAAGACAGTTAATACTGATAATAAAAGGGAGTGCCTGTACTGGGTGGGTGAAACGCAGGGAGCAAGGGCTGTGCTGAGTGGTGGCGGACGCATGCGGGCGGTCCCACTGGGGGCTTCGGTGGAGCTCCCTATGGGGCCACGAAACGCTGCGGTGGGTGGGTGAAACGCATGGAAGAAGGAGGAGGGAGGGGAGGAGGGGGAAGAGGAGGAGAGGAGAAGAGGAACGCGGGGACCGTCTCTTCAAAACGAGGACCCAACACCACAGGATGGTTGGGAACAAACCACACCGCCCCACCGACGGCCCCCCATGTTGCGCTACGACCCACTGGGGGCCGTAGCGTTAAGTAAGGCCCATGGGGCCGTGGGTGGGATGGTGTCGCTCGTTTTCTGGCCCACTGAGCCCAGTCAGTCGCTTGGGACAGGTTCAGCCATGGCCCCTGGCGAGCGGGGGCCAGCGGATTCGAGCAGGACGACGGCAGGTCGAAGGGCGCCGGGATCGTCGAGTACAGGACTAGGGAATCGTAAGACTCGGGTTCGCGGGAGCTCGGAGTCTTTACCAGCCTGCAACATATCTCTATCCTTAGGGTTGACATCTCCTCATATCGGAGCTGATCTGAAGCATTCCCTCAGTCTCTGAGGGCACATCCCGAAGATTGTCATCACCTGCGGCTCCCCGATTTCAGGGATGTCAGATCTCGCGTGAGGCAGCGGCCCGCCTCGCGCGAGGCGGCCAAGGCTGCCGAGGCCCCGCGTGCCTCGCGTATCCAGCGGTGGCGGCGGCAGCGACGACGAAGAGCGGCGGCGGCGCTCAGAGGAGGGCGAAGTGAGACAAGGGTGGTTGGCCGTCGGGGGTCCCTACTCGCCACGGCAGAACTCGTGTTTGCCGACGCTGCTTGTCGAGCCCGTCCTGGATTTCGACGGTCCAATTTTCGTGGGATGTCTGCCGTGGGAGCGTCAAAGCTCAGATTGGGTCTCGTCATCTTCCTGGCGGCCCCGTCAGGCGAACCCGAGTCACCCGACCCGCCCCGAGTCGTCCGTCGCCCTGGCAGGACCCCCGAGGCCGCCGAGAACGCTATCGCCACCCTCAACGACTCCAGCCTCGGAGCGCGCCCTATCTTCGTCAGGGAGGACAGGCCGGCCCGGGGGGATCCGTGAGCAGACCGTGAGATCCGAGCGTTGCATGTTTTTTCGGACCGGGCGTTTTCGCCCAGTGTCGGGCCCGGGGGCCATCACAGATCGATTTGGTTCGAACAGTGCAGCAGGAAGGCGGGGTCTATGGCTCCGGCTGTGCTGCTCCGCGATGCTGCCGTTCTTGCGCAGCGCAGGGTCTCAGGGACGGTTCTGGCCTCCGAGATCGAGGAAGCGGAAACGACATCTGCATGGACTTTCGGAGGTCCGTGCCGATTTCTCGGGTCGGCGCTGGGCACTCCTGGCGGTGCCTCTGGCGCCGCACCTGGCGCGCTCCGTGCGCGAGGCTGGGGTGTGTCCAGCGCTGGTCCAAGAAATCCGCGCGGAACTCCAAAGGTTTTTATTTGTACAGTTTTTTTTCTCGTTATGAGAGCTATTATTGTACCCCTCTCGCCCCTTTGTTTTTGGCTGTCTGCTATTTTTTGTTATGACTGGTCGGGCCACAGTCTCGGAGATGGTTTTCAGAAGTCTGACCACGTTCGCCATCATTGTTTACCCTGCCCCCTCGTCTTGGCAGGGGCAGCTCTAAGGGGAAGGGCAAGGACAAGGACAAAGACAGGGGCTACGACAGGGACAAGGGCAAGGGCAAGGGCAAAGGCAAGGGCAAGGGCAAGAACGTCAACCCAGACGACGAGGGGCGGCTCCTGTACGTAGGGAATCTGCCGTTCCGATGCTCTTGGCAGGATGTTAAGGATGTCTTCAAGGAGGCCGGGCCGGTGATCCGCGTCGACATCGCGGAGGGCCCAGACGGGAGGTCCAAAGGCTACGCCACGGTCTTGTACGAGACCGAGGACCAGGCCCAGGGCGCGATCGACAGGTTAAACGGGAGGGACTTCCAGGGCCGCAGTCTCACGGTCCGAATGGAGACGTTTGGCTGAGGGCGGCGTGGCCGCCGAGAAGGGTGTGTTCGCCGAGAAGCGGTGATGGAAGGTGAGGCTACCTTCGGTTGATGGCTTCGCGCGCAGGAGGAGGGTGTGTTCGTCGATCGCACGGCGCATTCAGGGCACGAGTTGATATTGTTTTTGTCGGTTGCATGGGAAGGGTGTGTTCGTGAGGCGTGCTGATGGCGCGATTGAATCGCGCCAGGGCACGGAATCTTTGATAATTCACGTGCCGCATTACTTTCGCAAGACGGAAAAAGAGAAGCGCAGGCTGCCTTCCTGTCCCCTTCCGTTTTCTCCTCCTGCCCCGGCCCTTTTGCCCACTTGTCGGCACGGGTCCGACGCTGGGTGGGGTGTGAGAGCCGAACTGCAGATGTCAGACTCGCCAGCTCCAGGAGTGCAAGTCGGTGGAGAGCGAGGGGGGGAAACGAGAAGGAGAAGGCCTTCTCTGAAGGCGGCGGGACTTCTCAGAAGCCCTCGAGCCTTCCGAGAAGTTTTCTATGTCTTCGGAGAAGGCTGAGAAAGCTTCTCAGAAGGCCGCGGGACTTCCCAGCCTTCTAAGAAGGCCAGCCCTGTCTTGCCTCCCCCCGGGCTCGCCGCCGAGCAGGGGTCTTCTTTTTGTGCAGGCCCCAGTCTCAGGTTGAGACTGGTCTGGAGATGGCTGGCTGCTGCGTAGCTCGGGGAGCCGTCGCAGCGACCCAGGTTACCCTGAAGGACCAGAGTCTGGACGTTCACAGGTAATACCCTCGTGGTTTGGAGGCGTCGAGGTCTGCAGCAGCGATATGATGGCGCTGGGGCGCCGGCCTCGAGAAATACCGGCGGCCTCGCATACGGCGACGGTCTGTGGGGTTGAGCATTCTTTTCGCTGCGCCTGCCTGGGCGGTTATGGCACTTTGTTGCAGGAAGTCTCCTGGTGGACGAGCAGCGGGGTGTGCGAGAATCATCAAGGACGGCGCGCGTTTTAAAATCATCCAGACGAGTGGGTGGCAGCAGCAGGGCGGCTCGTGTTGCCACGTCCGCAGCATCCCGCGCAAGTCGCGCTCCGGCGCATGCTGTGACCCTGCCCCCTGATCCTGACCCTCTCGGTGGACTTCCGGAAGTACCCTGGCCCTCGGGCCCCGGCTTTCCAGTTGGCTTCTGTGAGAGTGCTCTCGGAACGCGAGAGAGGAGAAGCCAGGCCCAGGAGGAGCCGACGAAGACATTCGGGCGGGTGGTAATGCGGGGTGACTGAACTGGGGTGTGAAGACAAAGGGCTCTAAAGGGGCCCTTTAGGGCCCCTTTCGGGCCCCTGCTTAATACAAAAGGGGGCCTGAAGGGCTCCATAGGGCACTTTTCTTCACCCCACCAGGTAGATCACCCCCCAGTACCACCCGAGACATGCTGCTCGTCCAGGGGCGGACTGCGGCCGTGATCTGGCCGCTCGGGCAGACCATGCACAAAAAGTCGTTCCCGAGGCGCGCCGAGCGGCCGCAGTGCCCTCTGCCCACCGCCCGAGGAGGCGCCTCGCGGCACGTGCGCCAAGCGGACCGATGCCTCTGCAGGAGAAGGCAGGGATCGGATAACTAGACCTACGCCGGCCCCGGCCGACCCTTAGGTTTCAGCTTTTTCTCGGATTTCTCACAGTCGGCTTTCGTCGGTCTTCCAGCCTCGGGATACCTTCCACCGGCTGCGCCTCGCCGCGACACGTTCCGGAGGTGCCCGGACCGTCCCAAAACCGGGCCACAGGCTGGGCCCATGAGCTGTGCGTATGCCCCCCGCACAAGCCAGGAAGGCGTGTGCACCGATCCTGGGCCCAGGATGGGCCTCGGCCCAGGACCACGTGTGGGCGTGCACTTGGCCCCCCCCGCCCCCGCAGCATCCCCGCCGTTTCCGCGGGACCCATCCACCGTCCCCATTCGGCCTCTCGACCAGTCCCTGCCGGTCGGGAGAGCGCCTCCCGCGCCGAGCTCGGGGCCTCCCACCCCGCGCGGCCCCCCCCCCGCCGCCTTCCCTGGCGCAGTGGCCTCGAGCAGACCGCACCCGTGGCAAGCGAGCGGGCCAGCGTCCGCGCGCGGGCACCTCCCAGTCAGGCCTGCGGCTCCCGCCGCCCCTCGAGCCAGCCGCACTTGCCGTAAGCGAGCGGACTGGCGCCCGCGCCTGGGGCGCCTCTGGTCAGGCCGCGGGCCGGAGGGAGGACCCCGCGACCACCAGGGCTCACGCCTGCGGCGCACGCCGCCCTCGTGGCCCGAGGCCCGGCCGCAGCAGTTCTCGGACCGCCCACTGGCGCCAGGACTGCTCGCGCCGCTCGCCCCTCTGCGGCACGCGCTCCCGTGCCGCACGTGCGGCGGCCTGGGTGCGGCCCATGGAGGCCCACCGCTGCCGGGGCGGGCACGACCGCCACGTCAGTCCTCGGGCCGCCCACTGGTGCCAGGACTGTTGACACCGCTCGCCCCGTCGGGGTGAGCGCTCCCGTGTGGCCCAGGCATCGCCACCAACACCGAGATCGGGATCATCTTCCCTCGGCGGAGACAACCGCCGATGTTGGTGCTGGTGCCTCCTGTCTGGGCGAGAAGTCCCGGGGGTGCGAGCGACGAACATCTCCGTATCCACGAGCTCGTGTGTTTCGTGCTGCGTGCGGCGGCCTCGCTGCGGCCCGTGGAGGCCCACCGCCGCCGGGACGCGCACGGCTGCGCTCGTGCGCGCGCGCGCCCGCGCCGAGCTGGCCTGCCTGCGCCGTCGGCCCTCGTGCCGCCTCGGGGCGGAGGTGGGCACGACTCGGTGAGCAGGGCCGCCTCCACCCAGAGTCAGTGCGGCGGGCGTGCGAGCAGTGCTCGCACACTGGCCGCGTCCCTGGAGCGGTGCCGCCCCGCCGTGGTGCCCTGGCGCACGAGCACGCCTCGCTGCCCCCGACGCTGCAGGGGCAGCGGCGCGCGCGTCGGGCACCTCCCCTCCCCGGATGCCTATCAGCATCACGCAGCCGAACGAGCAAGCGCACCTGCGTCTACCATGTGCGCGTCGGCCCCACTGGTGCGGCGCGCGCGCTCAGAAGTTTCACACTGCATGCTCGGTGGCGGGCTCTGGCCATACCGCCTGGGGTGATGATGTACTGTGAGATGCCTGTAGTGTCTGTTCTGCTCGGGCGCCCATCTCCAAGGTGGACGTGCCGAAATCGTATGTCTTTTTGCATCCTCGGAAATCTGCACCGACACCAGCACAGGGGGGGTGTCTCCACTTGGTGCTGGTGGTAATCTTTCGGCCACCCAAGCAGCTTGAGTCTTGCCACCGTCACCGGGATCGGGATCATCTTCCCTCGGTGGGGACAGCCGCCGGTATTGGTGTTGGTGGCAACCTCTGAGCCTTCTGCCTGGGTGAGTCCCCGGAGTCCAAGCGCCTTGGGCCACAAGCGACGAACATATCCGTATCCATGAGCCCGTTTGTTTTGTACCGCGGCGAAATTGGTCGTTACAGGGGGTGAGGGGGGAGGGAAGCGGTAATGTTGCGATTTCTCATGCGGCGTCTGGGAATGGCTAATGATGACGGGGAATCGTTGGGGAGAGCGAGGGATGGGTCAGTGCACCCGTGAGAGTAGCTATGACTGTGGGACGTGGGAGTGCCTGGAGATAGCTGGGATTACCAAGGGGTGCGGCGAATGCAAATCGCGAAGTTACTGGGTAGCCTGCTGCTTCCAGGCACGCTGTGGAGATCGCGGGCCATCGCGGTGCTCTGCAGCATCCCAGGGTGCTCGCATTGTGCACCGTGGTGTCCATAGGCGTGCTCACGAAGACGACGACGAGGCTGGCTAACTCCTGCCTCGAGGCCAGGGGCGCCCAGACCACCCTTGGAGTCAGTTCGATCATTGAAATCCGATCGACGAGATACTTTGTGCCTGGCCCCGCCATCATACTCCGTCCTCGCTCCTCCTCCGCCATCCGGTCCTCTTCCCTCCTCCCTTGCTCCTCCCCCTCTCTTCACTCCTCCTCGTCATCTTCCTTCTCTTCCTCTTCCTCGCCCTCCCCCTCCTGCGTTTCTCGTCGTCCTGTTCGTCCTTCCTCACTGTCCTACTCTTCCGGGTCGTCCAGGTCCCTCATGATGACATAGCTGTAGTAAAAACGTAAAAACAAGTAGTTTGGACATGGCTCCGCTTTCCTCGCCCCTCCTGTCTCCTCGTCCCTCTCTCCTCTCTCTCTCTCTCTCGCTCTCTCCTTTGGGCACCAGAGAGTACCTTCGAGCACTGGCAGTGCGCCTGTGTACACCTCAATCTGCCCGCGAGCACCACCAACGTGCCAGAGAGCGCCACAGTGTGATTGCGACCGGATGCGCGCGAAGCCCGACCCTGCCATTACCACAGTGGCTTGCGAGCGCCACACGCATGCTCAGCATTATGCCACTAGTACCACGATACCTTGCGAGCGTCGCGATTTGCTTGCGGTCGCCAACCAGGTGCTTTTGAGCGTCCCGGCGCGAATCGGGACATTATCAGATGGAGTGGTGGCGCTAACGGCCGTCATCGCGAATCTAGTAGAAACGCGTCCCATCCCCTCTCGGTCTGGATGCCGAGGTGCGTTCCCACGGATACGCGGTTCCATTGTTACGTTTCGCGCTGAGCATCCACGCAGAGCCGCTGTGTATCCATGGATTCTAAATCGCAAGGCCCGCGAATTGGGCGTCGTGTAGCTTTTCAGGCCTGCTGGTGCGTTCCCCCTCCTCGAAGAACTTGTCACGAGCCCCCAGTGCCAGTTCCGTCCCTGCGCCAGATTCTTGCTCGGCCGCGTTGCAAAGTCTGTTACAGTGCAGCCGTCACCGGCCAGCACATCCCTCACCCTTCGGACGCCCCCCCGCACGGACCCCCACCGGAGGTCTCCAGAAACACCCGGAGGCCTCCAGAGGCTCCTGGGGAGCTCCAAGGGGCAGTCCTGGGGCCAATCCAGGGGCGGCCCCAGAAGGGAGGTGGGATTCCAGGGCTGTTCAGGGCCCTTCACTGGGGCCCCCCTTGGTCGAATAGGGGATCGACTACAGAATTGATTTACCCCAAACATTCTTTAAGTCGAATCTACGAGAAGTGCGTAGGATGCTCCGTATATCGACGGAGTTTGGGGTATACCAATTCTGTAGTCGATCCCCTACTCGCAGCGGAGCGCGCACGACTCAATCGTTCTGCTTCCGCTCCTGCTTCCCCCTGCGGGCTGAGGCCGGAGGGCGGGGAGAATCTCCGGGTGAGCTCGCCGACGATGCCGCGAGTTCGCCTGCGCAAGGTCGCGAGTGAGCGCCCCCGCTTCCAGAGCACCGCGCCGCGCGGGCGGCCTGCGTGAGCTGCGGCGTGAGGTCGCCATGCCACCTCGCGTAAGGCCTGCTGACCGCTTTCGCCGCCCACGGGTGCCCTGCCGCGGCCCTGCCCCCGGCCCTGGCCCCCCCCGCCCTCGGCGCGAGGTGCAGGACGCTGCACCTGGGGCTCAGGTCCGGCTTCTACCGGACGCTCGCCGCCGGCGGCAAGGCTCGCGCGGCCCAGGGATCCAGTGCCTCCGGCGCACGCGGAGGCTGCAGGGCCGAGGCCTCTCGTCGATTTCGGCCGCTGGGGGCCCCCGGCGGGCCCTCGGGCCGTCAGGGAACGACTCCGGATGCAAAGCCGGCCCTGGGGAGGGGGTCGGGCCTTCCCTGGGGACGACGCGTGGGAAACTCAATGCATGGGATCTCTGGGGAGGCGGGGGGGTCAGGGGCCGCGTTGGGGGGGGGGGGGGGACTGGCCCAGGGCTGGGGAGAGCATCGACCCCCTGGCTGCCCCAGTCCGCGCACGGGCGTGGGCCCCCCCCCCATCGAGGGCGTCTTGCCGATTCCAGGTCGCGCCGATCTATCGGCGATGCATCGCCGATTCCAAGTCTGAGGTTCCGCCCCGCCCCTTCCGAGCGAGTTCCCCTCTGGAGGAAGGGAGGGGGGCGGGGAGGGAGAGAGGGGAGTAGACGAGGGTCTGTGGGCGCCGGGCTAGCGGGCGCTCCGCGCATCACTCTTGGCTGAGTGCGGCAGCATACGCGTTGAGAGCCAGGCGCACCGGCGAGAAGGGTGCGACGGAATGGACGACGAGGTACGTGGTATCCGAGCTTCGCTCGGTGCTGCGTCGCGCATGGGGAAGGCGACATTGGCGGGACGCCGCTGCGCGGAGCACGAGAGGCTCCCTGCATGGTATCCCAGAAGGGGCCCTGAACGGCAACCACGGTCCGTATGCCAGGCGGTGGCCCCAGCCCTGAATGACAGCCTGACGGGTGGACCGAGACAGAAGTGCCCCAGTGGCGCAGTAGCAAACCCAGGGTGGCGAGCACGGCCAGCTGGTGGCCCCAGGGCTGGTGGCGCAAGCCCTCGACCTGTACCCTCCGCACCTTCCGCGCGGAAGGTGCCGCCGCGATGTGGCCGACGCGGCTGCCGCTGCGGCCTCGACGGTGGCCGCCGCTGCGGCCGCGGCGGCGGCCGCGGCAGCGCGGCACCTGCCGTGCGGAATGTGCGGAAGGGTGCAGGTTGAGGTCGAGCACGTAGCGAAATCCGAACCCTACCCCCGCTTCCCAACGATTTGGGAGTATCGATGGTTGGCGGGGGTAGGGTTCGGATGTCGCCACCTACGGTAGGTTCGCGTCGCGTCGACCAGCGGCGACCCTGCCGCTAGCGTTCAACGTTGAGTGCCGCCAGCGACTCAGAATCGTTCAATATTGAACCCGCGGAGCGACCCAGAATCGTTCAAGATTGCATGGTCCCCGCGGTGTCAGAAACCAACGCCGAAGGCGGCACGACGTGAACCTGCCGCACACCCGTCGGTCGGTCGCAACGGGCCACGAGGGGCGCCGCCGCGCCACGCGAGGGCCCGCGAGGGGCCGCAGAGGGCCACGGGGGCCCCCGTGGCCCAGCCCTCGCGCCGCGCCACGCGCCCGCCCCGCAAGGGCCTGGCCACAGGGGGCGCCGCCGGCGCGTGGGCGTTGGGCGAGCAGGCCGCGCGGGTGCGCGGCGATCGGGCGGCGGCCGCGGGAGGCGCGCGCTTCCCCCGCTCGACCTCGGCGACGCAGGCGCGACGATCGGGCGGCGCCGCCGACCGGCGAGCGTCGCCGATGCCGCCGCCGACGACGCCAGCGACGAGCGCCGCGGCCGCGTGCGCGGCAGGAGAACCGCTGCCCGCGCTCGCCCGTTTTGCTGGGGTGCGGGCCAGGCCCCGCAATCGCCGCGTGCGCGGTCGGAGGCGGTCGCCTCTTCCCGCTCGACCTCGGCTTCGACCTACTCCCGAGTGGGCGTGCGGAAGGTGCAAGTCGGGGGCTGGGAGGAGGGCGCGCGCGTGCAAGTCGAGGGTCTTGGGTGTTGCGAGGCCCTCGGCATGCACCTTCTGGACCTTGCGCGCTGCAGGTGCCGCGCTGCCGCGGCCGCCGCCACGGCCGCCGCGGCGGCCACCGCGTCGAGGCCGCAGCGGTGGCACCTCAGGTGCGGAAGGTGCAGGTCGAGGGGAGGTGCCCCTGGCCCGACCCTGAGATCCAGGCGTTGCCGTTTTTGCGCGCCAGGCGTTTTTGCTCAGTTTCGGGACCCAGTGCCATCACAGATCGATGCAGCTCGAAGATTGCCGCAGAAAGATGTGCTCTAGGGCTCTGGTCGTGTTTTTTTTCGCGATGCTGCACGGTTTTCCGTCGGTGCCTCAGAAAGATGGGCTCTAGGCCTCCGGTCGTCATTTTTCGCCATGCTCTATTTTTCTCGCAACGTCGGATCGGTGGGACGGGCGCGGCGCCAGCGGCACGCCAGCCGTGCACCAGCGCCAGGCAGGCGTAGGGTCGGCGTGGGCGCCCTCCAGGCCAGTCGCAACTGGGGGAGCTTTGGTTCTCTCCCCCCTCATGCCCTGGGGGGTCCATCGGCCTCGACGCCTCTCTCGAGAGCTCGTCGATACCATGGGCGCTGCGCGTTGGCGCCCGCTCGCGTCGTGGGCTCGCGTCATCGGCTCGCGTCGTCTGGGGCGCGCGCGTCGGCTCGCGCCGTCTCGCGTTGGCGCGCGCGCGCGGGCGCCCTCCCAGCGCGGATCGGTGGGGCTCCCCGTCGCCTGCTTCCATGTCTTCCCTGGATCTCGGAGCGTGCAGAGATGCTGTGAGGCCTCAGTGGCTCCTCCTCCTCCTCCTTCCGGTTGCGACCTCCTGCTGCTCCTCTTCTTCGTCGCGCGGTGTGGATACCCGATGCTGGCCGCCCTGCCGCGGTCATACAAGCCCGCTGCCCGCGCTGTGTCTCCGTCTCTCCGTCGACCCGTCACCCGGCTCGCTCGGATCGGCCTGCGCGCGTCGTCTGCTCGGGGTTGGGCTGGCCAGCCGCGGTTCGATGGAAGTCCCGCCACCCTGCCAGCCCAGCATTGTGGCGGCTATTCGAGGGGGCAAGGGAGGCCGTCAAATGTGACACCCTGGGCTTTTTGAAGACCATGGGGCCTTTGAGGGCCTATTGGGGTCCTCTTGAGGCCTCTTGGCAGCGTCTTGGGAGTGCCTCGGATGTTATTGGGAGCTCCTTGGGCAGTCAGAGGGCGCTCTTAGGCCGTCTGGACGCTTTCGGAGTGCAACGTGTCTTCGACACATACTGTGGATTCATCACTCTTATTATCCTCGGGTTTAAACTGCCGCAGACGTATCAATTACTCAAGCCGACCTCCTGAGTGATACATTACGTGCTATGCAATCTGCCAGACGATCATATTTTGATAATGTTGGTGTGCGAGCCAGGGAGCATTGCGCCAAGACAGTGGCACTTGGTTGGGAAGCGCGGCCGCCCTAAGCTGCAATGGCCTCAGTGCGTGCACAAGTTGGCTAATTATTAATTCGTCTTCGCATGGGCGTGTTGGAGGCCCGCTAAAGCGCAGGGTGCGTGCAGCCCTCAAGTTGTGTATGCGTTTCTGCCCAAGCGCCGTGCCATAGGCTGGCGTATGGCTTCTGTCTGCCTGAAGCCCTCGTAGGCCGTTTCCAGGCCATGTTGGAGGCTTCCTTGGCCTCCTCGAGCTGACGGAAGTCCGAATCGGTGGTAATGCAAGAATCCATCCCAAGCATCCCTGACTTCAGTCGCTTCGGGCGCTCCTGGAGGTTCTGTTGGAGCCTTCTTGGGCCGTCTTGAGGGCTTATTTGGGCGTCTTGAGGCCATGTTGGGCCATCATGAGGCCATGCTGCGCCATGCGAGAAGCATGTTGGGCCATCTTGTCTCACTCCACCTCCTCTTCCCCCTCCTCCTCGTTTGTCCTCTTCCTCGCTCCACCTCGCTCCTCGCTCCTCCTCCTCCTCCTCCTCCTCGTTCCTCCTCCCTCCTCTTCGTCCTCTCTCCTCCCTCCTCGTTTCTCCTCGCTCCTCCTCGTCCCTGCTCCTCGGGCCCACGGGGGGCCCGAAGTACACTCACATCCGTTGCCTCCTGGGGGGCCCTGGCCGGCGCGTATTGTGTCAGCTTCCACCTCGGAAGGTCGTTTTCTGCTACAACGCGGTGCGCCCCCTCGCCGAGGACTTCGAGGACGCGGGCACCCCGCGGTGACGGCGGGGCCCGGCCCGCGCGGGGGGGGGGGACAGCTCGCCGGTCCTCCCTGTTGGCGCGGAGGGAGGGAGGGAGGGAGGGAGGGAGGCAGGGAGGGAACCATCTTAGCCTCTTGGGGGGGTCCTTGGAGTGCTCGGAGGGCAGTTCAAACCGTGTTTTGGGTTCGTCGAGGCCTCTTAGATGTGAGTCAGAGGCTATCTTGAACCATCTTGAGGTATCTTGAGGCATCTTCGAGGCCATCATGCGCTCTCAGAGGCCTTCTTGCGATCATCTTAAGCCATCTTGGACGCTCAAGCCCCTCGCGGGGCGCCCCTGCCAGGCCCAGGGGAGGGGGTAGGGGGAGGTGTCAAGACACCTCCAAGGAGCAAACCGTGTAGCTCACTCCCACCCGCCCTCCCAACACATGTGTAACACTGGACCAAAGGACCAAATATTTGAACCTCCGAACAGGCTCTGTCAACAACCAATGGGAAGGTCCCGACGGGACAGTCGTAGTCCCGCCAGCTAAGGCTCGAGTGCGACAGGAGAGGTGGGCGCGCCCGCCAGCGGGGTGCTCTCGGAGCGCCTCTTGGAGCGCTCTTGGAGCCTCTTGGGCAGGCCTCTTGGAGCGCTCTTGGAGCCTCTTGGAGGCCTCTTGGGCAAACTTGGGGCCATCTTTGGCGTCTAGGAGCGTTCTTGGGCCGTCTTGGAGGCCTTGTTGGGCCCTCTGGGGCGCGTCTTGGGGCCATCTTGGCTCGTCTTGGGGCCCTGTGGCCTCTGGAAAATCCACGCGACCGAACCCAAGCGCGCCCATCTGCTCCGATGTGGAGGTTTTGGAGTGTTTTTTGACAGGGATGGTGGGGGGGGGCCCTCATGGTGTGCGCATGGTTCCGGGTTGGCTGCCAGCCGGGTGGGGGAGGGGGTGTTCATTAGTAGGGAATTGTGATAAAATTCCCCCTAGCAGGGGAAATAGGGAGTTTTGGTAGAGAGAAAACAAGATTCGTTAAACCACGTACGCCCAGAGGGCTGGTGGGATGCTTAAACCGCGTTACGGCGGTGCAGGACGTGGTCACTGTTTTCATATTTGTTCGTTACCATTGTTCCGCTAAAATTTGCAGGAGGAGGGAGGAGTTGTGGTGGTGGGGCCGGGGAGCGGAAGACAACGATTTTTTTCGAAGCGATTTATTTCGAGACGACTTCTTCTGGGAGAATTTCCTTCCGGACGAAATTGGCCCGAAGAAATCTCCAAAAGACGACGCCTAGAAGAAATTGTTTCAGAAGAAGTCGTTTCCAGAAGTCGCTCGGAATAATTTCGTCTGAAAAAACCGCCCAGAAGAATTCCCCTCGGCAGAACTAGCTTGCGGAAGATTTCGTTCCAATTTCATTGGTCGAAGAAGTTTTCTCGAGGATCATGTAAAGGAGACAAGCGACGACGTGAGCCGCCTGGAAGAAGTCGCCCCAGAAAAAGACGCCCCAGGAGTAGTCGCCCTGAGGAAGTCGCCCCGGAAGAAGTAGCCCCGGAAGAAGTCGCCTCGGAAGAATACCTATCGTAAGAAATCGCCCAGATGAAGTCGCCCCAGAAGAACTCCTCTCGGAAGAAGTCGCCTGGAAGATTTCGCCGCGGCATTGCCACGTAATGGGTGGAGCCGAGGTCTACTTCTTGTTCGCTCCTGATGCCATTGCCACGTGGCGAGTGGAGTGGGATAGTATTTTTGTTTGCCTCGCATGCCTTGGCACATGGTGTTCCTCCGAGCGTTGCCACGTGGCAAGGAGAGTTGAGTAGTATCTGTTTCGCTCCCCCGCCCGGCGTTGCCACGTGGCGCGCGCGAGCGGGCGCGCGCGCGGGCGGGCGGGCGGGCGCGCGGGCGGGCGGGTGGGCGGGCGGGCGCGCGGGGGGGCGTGCGGGCGTGCGGGCGCGCGGGCGGGCGGGCGGCGGGCGGGCGGGCGGCGGGGCCGCGGCGGCGGCGGCGTCGGCGGCGTCATCATCATTATCATCATCATCATCATCATCATCATCATCATCATCATCATCATCATCATCATCATCATCATCATCATCATCATCATCATCATCATTATCATTATCATTATCATCATCATCATCAAAATCATCATCATCATCATCATCATCATCATCATCATCATCATCAGCATCATCATCATCATCATCATCATCGTCATCATCATCGTCATCATCATCATCAGCATCATCATCATCATCACCATCATCATCATCAGCATCATCAGCAGCATCATCATCATCGCCATTATCATCATCATCGTCAACATCGTCATAATTTTTGAACTTCATCATCCACATCATCATCACAACAACATCATCGTCATCATCGTCGTCGTCGTGGTCGTTGTAATTGTAGTTGTCATTGTGGTTGTCGCTGTTGTCGTCGTCGTCGTAGTCGTCCATCGTCGTCGTTCTCGTCGTCGTCGTCGTCGTCGTCTTCGTCGTCGTCGTCGTCGTCGTCGTCCGCGTTGGAGCCAAGTGCCGAGTATATTTTGGTGTTGGCCTCCGCGGCGTTGCCACGTCGGATGCAACATAGTTGTGCTGTTTGGCAACATTGCGCGCAAAGTTGTATTGTTTCTTGTTCGCGGGCCTGTCGTTGCCCCGTTGCGAACGGAGTGGCGCTCTATCAGTTCCCGCCCCGCGGCTTTGCCACGTGGTGAATCTAATGGAACATGGATTTTCGCCCCACAGATGCTGCCACGTGGCGAGTAGAGTGGGATTGAATATGTTCGGTCCGCGCCGCATTGCGACGTGATGAGTTCAGTGTTTTTATACTTCTTGTTCGCTCTCCATGTCGTTGCCGCGTGGCGAGACGAGTGGGATAGTATGTTCTCCAAATAGGCTTGCCCTATAGGAGTTCGAACTCAAATCCTACTAATTGGTCCGTTGCCCCCCCAATTCCTATGCCCCCCCAATTCCTATGGCTATGCCTATGCCTATGCCTCCCCTCTAACTCCTATGCCTACGCTTATGGTTTCCTATGTATCCCTGTGAGTCGCCTGCCCTTGCTTGCTCTTGCGTGCTCTTGCTTGCTTGCTCTTGCGTGCTTGCTATCGCTTGCTTGCTCTTGCTTGCATTTGCTTGCTTGCACTTGATCGCTGGCTCTTGCTTGCTTGTTATTGCTCGCTTGCGCTTGCTTGCTTCCGCTTGATTGCTTGCGCTTGCTTGAGCTTGCTCCTCCCAGCCTCCTCCCATCCTGCTCCCGTCCTCCTGTCGTCCTTCTCCCATCCTTCTCTCGTCCTCCTCCTGTCCCCCTATCTATTTGGAGCCAACGCTGGCTGATATCTATGTACCTTTCAGGCCTTGCCACGTGGCGTTGCCATGTGGCGAGTAGGGAGGAGTAGCATTTGTTGCCGCGTCGCTTCGTTGCCACGTGCCGAGTAGAGTGGAGTACTTCTGTTTCGACCCGCAGGCGCTGCCACGTGGTCAGAACAGTGGAGTAGTATGTGTTCCCCCCTCCGAGCGCTGCCACGTGGCAGGGGGAGACTGAGTTGAGCAGTATTTGTTTTGCTCCCCTGGTGTTGCCACGTGGCGAGTAGAGTTAAAGCACATGTGCAGTTTGGGTATTCGCTTCCCAGACGCTTTCACTTGGCAACTCGCGCGGAATAGTATGTTCTCCAAATAGGATTGCCCTATAGTCTAATTGAAATCCTACTAACTTTGGTCCGTTGCCCCCCAACCTAATTCCCATGCCCCCCCAATTCCTATGGCTATGCCTATGTCTATGCCTCCCGCTAACTCCTATGCCTACGCTTATGGTTTCCTATGTATCCCTGTGAGTCGCCTGCCCTTGCTTGCTCTTGCTTGCTCTTGCGTGCTCTTGCTTGCTTGCTCTTGCGTGCTTGCTATCGCTTGCTTGCTCTTGCTTGCCCTTGCTCGCTTGCACTTGCTCGCTGGCTCTTGCTTGCTTATTATTGCTCGCTTGCGCTTGCTTGCTTGCGCTTGCTTGATTTTGCTCCTCCCAGCCTCCCGTCCTGCTCCGGCCCTCCTTTCGTCTTCCTCCCATCCTCCTCGCGTCCTCCTCCTGTCCTCCTATCTATTTGGAGCCAACGCTGGCTAATATTTGCCAGTCCCGCAGACGTTGCCACGTCACGAGGAGAGTGGAGTAGCACAGTTGTTCGCCGCAGGCGTTTGCCACGTGGCGAGTAAAGTGGAATAGTTTCAATCTCCGTCCCGCAGGCGTTTCCGCGTGCCGAGTAGAGGGATGAGGGAGGAGGGAAGAGGAAAGAGGAATGAGGGAGGGGGGGGAAGTTGGGAGGAGGCAGGCGGGAGGAGGGCGGAAGGAACAGGGGGAAGAGGTGATAGGAGGGAGGGAGGAGGGAGGATGCATGAGGGAGGAGGGAGGAGAAGGGAAATAAGGCAAGAGGCAGGAGAGGAGGGAGGAGGGAGGAGAGAGGAGGACAAATTAGGAGGCCTGGGAGGAAGAGCGAGGAGGTGGAGGAGGAGGAGGAGGAGGGAGGAGGGGGAGATGTGAGGATCGGAAGGAGGTCGAGTAGGACGGGGTGGAACGAGGAAGAGAGATGGGGGACAAATGAACAGGGGGAAGGAAGGGGGGCGGAAGGACGAACGAGGAGGGGCGAGGCGGGGCTGGTCTGAACTGGAGTGTTGGGCTTGGCCCCTCTCGGTTTTTCGGGTTGGGGTTTCGTCGGCGTTTCGGGTTTTGCCTGTGGGGAGATTTTCGGGTTTCGCTCCTTTTCCATTTCCAGGTTTCGTGGTTGGTTTTCGGGCTTCGCCTCGGAAAATTTCGGGCTTCGCTCTGCTACCGTTGCAACGCACTCCCCCCTCCCCCCCGGAGGAGGGCGACCGCGAGGACAGGGCCCCCCCCTCCCTTGGACGAGGGTGAGGAGGACGACGAGGAAAGGAACCCCCTCCTTCCCCCGAAGTCGCAACACTCGAACTCACCACTAGGGTGCCGGCCAGACGCGGGCGTCCAGAAGAAATCCCCATGAGAAATCTCCCGGAAGAAATCGCCTCGGAAGAAGTCGCCTGGAAGAAGTCACCCGGAAAACGGTGCCTGGACGAAATCGCCTCGGAAGAAGTCGCCTCGGAAGAAATCGGCCGGACGAACCCACCCTGAAGAAGTTGCTCGGAAGAAGTCGCCCGGAAGAAGTCGCCTCGAAAGGAGTCTCCCGGAGGAAATCACCTGGAAGACGTCGCCCAGGAGAAAATCATATGACGGAATCCGCTGCAAAAACGTTTCAACGAGTTCTAGTAAGCAGACACTTGCCAGAAAACACATCGGAAGAAGCATGATGGAAGAACTCACTCGGAAGAAGTCGCATCGGAAAATCTTACCCTCAGACAAAAAAAGGTTCAGAAGAATTCGCCTCGGAAGAAGGCACCTTCGGAAGAAGTCGCCCAGAAGAGCCTTTCCAGAAGAAGTCGCGTGTAAGTCGCCTCGGAAGAAGTCGGTTTGGAAGAAGGCGCTCGGATTAATCGGTAGGTTTTCGGAACGGAAGCGGGCGCTGTGATCTATCGACAAGGCCTCATTCAACGGTGCCGAACCGAGGTTGAGTAAAACGGTGAATCATAGCACCGAGTCGAGCATGGAGTTTTCCGCAGAGACGGTGCCTCCTGGGCTGGGATCATGGGACAAGCCAGGCGCCCGGGGTATTTGAAAGTTATGATAGTCAGTACCTGCTCTAAAAAGGTCCCGCGGCGCGAAGAGATGTCACAGAGGACGTGTGAGTGAGGGAGGAGGGAAGAGCTAGACTTGTGCAAACCCTAAGATCCGACGTTGCGAAAGAAGGCGACATCGCTAGAAAACGGGACCGGAGCCCTAAACCCCATATTTCTGCGGCATTTGTCGAGCTGGATCGATCTGTGATGGTCCAAGGACCCCGTTCCGGTCGAAAATCCTCTGTGTGAAGAATTAAAAGGCCCTGCCTCAGGGATCAGTGTTGCATTCCCGGAGTCTCCCAGGAGAGCGTGAGCTACAACTTCGTCTTCGAGCCTGGGGGCTTCTACCGCATGCAGTGGACGCGAACCTTCGACGCGTGGTCCTCGCAGAGCGAGCAGCAGCACGGGCGCTGGCAGGCCGGGCGGGTGGAGGGTGCCAAGGAAGGGTTTCTGGAGGGAAAGATATATATATATATATGTGTGTGTATATATTCATATACACATAGTTATATATATATTTATAGAGAGAAAACAAAAAAGATAGAGAGAGAGAGAGAGAGAGAAAGAAAGAAAGAGAGAGAGAGAGAGAGAGAAATAAAGAGAGAGAGAGAGAGAGAGAAAGAGAGAGAGAGAGAGAGAAAAATAATTAATGAAAGAGAGAGAGAGAGAGAGAGAGAGAAAGCGGGGGGTCAGGCTCTAACCCTGCAGCGCGAGCACGTCTCGCGGGGTCCGTCAATTTCGCCTGCTCCTACGGAGAAATGAGGAGGGGGGATAAAGAGAGAGAGAGAGAGAGAGATAGAGAGCAAGAGAGAGAGAGAGAGAGGGAGACACACACACACACACACACACACGCACCGTCACGCATTCACACATGCCCATATACACATGGAGAGAATTCACATACACATTTACGTAACTATGCCACCTCATATCTCCACACTTCAAGGTATAAGCCAGACGGGAAGGGGATGGACGCCGAACCGCAACCGCTCTGCTCACGCGTGAGCCAACTCCTTTCCATGGAACTCCTCCTACAAGAGGGCGTCATTGAAGTGATCCGAGGGATCGGCGTCGGCGCTGCGATCAGCTTGGCCAGCCACAGCTGCGCGCCTTGTGTGTGCGACTGCCCAGCCTGCAGCCGCGCTGTCACCTGTCCCGCGTGCCCGACGGTGCATTGCGGGCACAACCACTTCGGCGGGGTCCTCGTCATCCCACTGTGCGTCGGGTTGGGGCTTGCCCTGGCCCACCTGCCAGTCGCCTGGCGCTTGGCCTTCCGCTGCGGACTGCAGCGGCTGCCAGCTGTTCGCCTGGTCTTCGCGCGGAAAGACGTGCCTGCGGACTGCAGCGACTGCCAGCGGGCCGCCTGGTCCTCGCGCGGAAAGACGTACCGGCGCTCGAGGGAGCCAAGCCCGCGCCGCGGGGGGAGGACGACTTGCGCGTGGAGGCGCTTGAACGGGTGTTGCAGGTCCGGTCTTGGCGGACTGAGCGAGGAGAGCTATGGCCGTGAACGGGCTTGCGTCTGCGGGCTTCGCGGAGGGCGACTTCTACCTGGTCCGTTTCGACGTGCCGGGCCCGCCGCTGTGGCACCAGCGGGTGTGCGTGTACCTGCCGGCCCAGTCCGGTGCGGTCGTCATTTGCTGCACCCAGACGGAGACAGCTACGAGGAGGACCTTGCTCCCAGGAGAGACGCAGCGGCCTGGTGCTTCCTACCTGGAGGCGCAGAGCTAGCGGCGCGGCCCCAGCTGGCGCGGGCGGCGCGGGGGCTCGACTGGCTGTACCGCTCCTGGGCGATCCTGCTGGCTTCGGAGCTCGGGCATGTTCGGGGCCGTGGAGCGCTTCGGCTGGGCGGGGTCGCCCCTGGCTTGGTTCGCGCCGAACACGGCGGGCCGCGCCGGTGCCCCGCCTGCTGGGATCGGAGCGGCTGGCGCCCCGCCGGCTGCCGCCGCTCCGCCGGCCGTCGTCGCGGCGGGACCAGCGGCCCCTGGCCCTTTCCCCGCGGCGGCTGGAGTCGGCGGCGGGCTGGCAAACCAGGCCGCGGTGCTTGGTCCAGCCGGGGATCCTGTGGCCCTTAGCGCCGGGCCCGGCGGTGCTGTGGTGGGCGCCCTCCCAGCAGCGCCAGCCGCGCCGGCCTTGCCCGCTGCGGGCGCGCTCGTGGCGGCCGCGCCGGCATCCAAGGGGCTAGCCGCCCTTGGACCCTCGCCGGTCGCCGCCGTCCCGGCTGCTGCTGCTGTCGATTCGAGAGCGCATGTAGTGATGGTGGACTCGATGGCCAAGCGGCACCGCGCCGTCGCGGACGCGCTTCCATGGCTGATGGAGACGTCGTGGGCGGACTGGCCAATGAGGGGGCCTCGTGCCCTCAGGTGGGTATGCCACTTCTTGGCCAGCAGCGGTGGCAGCCCCGTTGCCACCATCGGTGGAAGACGGACTGCCGCTTGACCGACGAGGGCGGCGTCGAGGAACACCTGCGCATCAGCACCGCCCTCGGGAACGCGGTGTGCTTCGACCAGTTGGTCAGTTTCGAGCTTCTGGGCCGGAGTCTGCAGATCATCGAGGAGAAATGCCGAGAGCGGTCGGCGGGAGCTTCGGACCCAGTGCGCATGAACGGAACGAGCACCCGCACCTGGGGACGGAGCTTGTGTGCGGCAGCTGCTGCGTCTGCCCGGCCTTGCAGTCCTGGGGGGTCAGGTGTTCGCCCGGGAACATGCGACATGCGAATGTGGCGTAATTTGCAGTGGTTGATAGCTTCGGGGACGCGAGCATTGAGTCATTTACGAGGGCTTGTTGCCTTGGGGACGCAAGAATTGCGTAACCCGCTGCCCCAGATAATAATAATGTACCCCCCTTTCCCCCCTCTTTTTTATCCCGTGTGAATCCGATTTTTTGTGGAGGGGCGCGGAGGCCGAACTTGGTAATCACCAGGGGAAGTTGCGAATCGAAGTTGCTATCATCTTATGTTGATTAGCAACATCACCAAAAACGTTGAGCATTGCAACTGCCCAGGCTCGAGCTTCCCCGAGTCTCCGAGACTCCAAGCTGTCGAGGCTCTTCGAGGCACCGAGCTGCACCTCCCCCCAGGGCAACGATAGGGGGGGATAAGGCATAAGGGGATGCATCGATCCCCAATCGCCCATTGATCGCAGAGAGTGGTTCGATAGCCCGAACCTGCCCAGGAACGTGCAGATTCATCATCATCATTGTCATCATCATCATCATCATCATCATCATCACCATCAGCATCATCATCATCCGCCGGGGAAATCATGGATTATCCCCGCCAGACCCCCGAATTTTATTATCCCCAGGGGATTATAATCGGGAGCGCAGGGTTAATTTGCAAAGGTTTGTGGTTTCGGGGACGCGCGTGCGTGTAATTTACGCGGGATTATGGCCTTGGGGGCGCGAGCCGCATGTATTGTAGTGGCCTCCGGCCAGTGCCGCCGATCCGGGACGCTTCCGTTGCTGCCGGAAACGCGTGATGGCGGTCTTGACCGGCGACGGCGGCGAGCGGTGAAGATGATGATGAGGATTGGGACTGGAGGCGACGGAGTAGGATGAGGAGGAGGAGGATCATGATGAGGTGGAGGGGGGGGGAAGGGGGGGGGGCAGGAGTAGCAGGATGTTGAGGATGAGGAGGAGCAGGAGGAAACGGGAAGCGGAAGGGGGGGAGGGGGAGAAGGAGGAGCATGACGAGGATGAGGATCTGTTCTGCAGTTGTTGAAGATGTTCGGCGGTTGTTGGAGGGCCTTTTTTTGAGGCCAAGTGCTGGCCCTCTTTGGGTTGACGCCTCGCCGACTTGGCGCACTCTTTGAAAAGCTTTGTGCTAGAGCTGTCTGCGTCACAGTTCTTCGTGGAGCCTTGTGCATCTCCGGTCTCTGCTGGGAGCCATGGCGTTTTGGGGATCTCTGGGGCCTTGGCGCGGTCCTCTGCGGGCCCCTGTGAGATCATGGATGTGAAGGACACCGAAGACTGAAGAACATGTGAAAGCGTGGAAGAACGTTTTGTATTGCAGCGCTTGTGTTCAGACGTTAGCGCCGTGGAAGCATTGGGGCCTGTTTTGGGCATTTCGGGGGGGGGGGAAACAGTTTGGAGGCCAGTAGAAGGCGCCAGGCGTCTTGGATGCATGTTTCGAGATTCTTGGGGGCCTTTCGGGGGCTTCAGGGGGCCTCTTCGGGGCCAGTTGGATGCGTCTTGGGGCCTCTTCAGGCCTCTTGGGGGCTTCTGGGAGCCTGCTGGGGGCTTCTTGGGCCGTTTTCGGCACTTCTTCCGCCGTCTTGGCGCCCTCTCATGCGCCTCTTGGGTCCGTCGCGGGTCCCTCTTGGGCGTTTCCGGGGGCCTATTGGGCCATCTTGGGCCCTTCTTGGACCGTCTTGGAGCGCTCCTTGCGGCTTCTTGGGCGGTTTTGGGGCTTTCTTGGGGCGTCTGCGACGCTCTGAAGGCCCAAGAGGCGAATCTGCTTAAATTGTACGTTCTCCAAGAAGGAATTGGGCATTTTTTGTTTTTGTTGGCCGCCTTTAAAAGGCTTTTTTCAGGGTTTCTGAGGGCATCTTGGAGGCTTCTGGAGCCGTCTTGGGGACATTTTGGGCGTCTTGTAGCGATCGTTCTGCGACTCGGGGCCATCTTGGCTCATGTTGGGGCCCTCGAGGGCGAGGGGGCTGCTGTCCCGGAGTGAGCTGGAGCTCCGATTCCGCCCCGGGCATGAAATCTAACCCCCTCCCGTCCTCTCCCCTGCCCTGGCAGAGCCCCCCTGGCCCCCCCCCCCAGTAGAGCTGAAATTCCGGAGTTGAGGTTCAGACTGTTCGGAGGGTCTTTGAAACTCACATGCCGGATCGGCGGATTCTTACGTGTCCCACGCCCGCCTGGGAATTCAGTCGACGCGATCCGGGCGTGGTAACCGTGTGGTTTGCCCCGCCCCCCCCCCCCCTGCGCGGACTTCAACAATTTACAGTAGGAAACAGAAAACAGGATTGTAATATTGGAGAGATGAGACTGCAAGTGGTGCAGGGAACAGCACATTTCGTCCTACAGCCTGGTGGCCCTACACGAAGGCCGGCGGATTTATGGTTGCCAGTGCGGGCCCCAAACATTGGTTCTTACAATGTGGATGTGTCATGTATGCGTTTGAAGCTATGTTGTTCAAGCCATGTGGTGTAAGCCATGTTGTGGCAGCTGCGTAGTGGAAGCTATGGTGGCTTGGGGGCGACCGTGTGCAAAGGCTGGGCGCTGGCACGGCCGCGGGTGGCCAAACCCAACCACAGTGCTTGGCCTGCATCCTCGCCGACCGGGGCTGGCTGGCCCGTGCGTGGCGCGATGCTCCTGCCTGCGTTGCCTCCCCTTTCCCTTCCTCTTGGGATCTTGTGTGCGACACCACTGCTTCGCATTCCGCCTTTCAAGGACTTCCTCTTCGCTGTGCAGTCGTCCCGCACTCGCGCACAAGGCTTGCATGTTCTGAGCGCTGTCTTTGGTCCTCCCCCGCCCCCTCCTCCTCCCGTCGCATCTGCTTAGTGCTTCAATTCGCCTCGGAAGCGCCCCTCCGTGGCTCCAGCGCTGCTTGAGTCGAGCGGCCGCAAACCCAAAAAACGACACCGCTGACAGTCCGACACTGAAGAGTGCCCGCGCACAGTCAGTTTATTGCGAAGGCCTTACGGCCGATGCCGCCGACCCTGAGAACGACGAAGATGAAAACGAGGGGGGGGGGGCAGAGAGGAGGATGAGTGGGAGGTGGAGGAAGGGTGGAGGAGGTGGATGAGGGAGGAGGAGGGGGGAGACGGATGTGGAGGAGAAGCAAGAGGAGGAGAAGGAGGCAGAGGAGAGCAGGAGGAGGGGGAGCAGAGGGGGGGAGGAGGAGGAGGAGGAGGAAGAGGAGGAGGCCAGGGGCTTTCGGACAGCCTGGGGCTCTCTTGAGGCCGTCTTGGGCCGTCCAGGGCTCCTCTTGCGCCGTCTCGAGGCATTCTTGGAGGCCTCCTGGGCAATTTGGGGATCTTCTGGGCTGTCTTGGGGCAGTTTGGGGGCCCCTTGGGAGCTTCTTGGGGCCTCTCGGGGCTTCTTCGGGGCCTCTTGGGGGCCTCTTGGGGCTGAGAGCTCGAAGTGTCCGTTCGGGTCCCCCGTCTGGGCGCTCTCCTGGAGCCGTCTTAGGGGCCTCTTGGGCCATCTTGGAGGCGTCTTGGGCCGTCTTGGGGCCCTCTTCGGCATTGAAGGGACCCTCTTGGGAGCCTCTTGGGCCGTCTCGGGGCGATCTTGGGGGCCTCTTGGGCCGTCTTGGCGCGTCGGGAAGCGGAAGAGGCAAGAACGCCAACATCTTCAAAAACGTATGGGACATCCATGAACTTTGCCTCTTGGGACTCTCGTGGGAAAGCTCCTGGAGGCCTCTTGGGGCGCTTTGCAGGCCTCTTGGGCCGTCTGGAGGCCGTCAAGGCGTCTTGGACAGATCGTTCGGCGATTCGGGGTTCTCTTGGACTGTCTTGGCTTATTTTGTCATCCAGGATTGGCTCATTGCTCGGGCTCGCCTGTGTCAGGCTGGCTTGAGCGATGTGCCCTGTTTCGTCGGCGTTTTGACGTTCCCCGTTGTAGCGCTCGTCGCGAATTATGGTGCCATTCAGAGGCCATTGCTTGCGTGCATCTTGTCAATGAGGAGTCTGCCAGCGACGCCTATGCGACTGGTAGGAGGTACCGTTTGTGTGGGACAAGTGAAATCGCCCCGTCCCCTCTTTTTCGCACCCGCTCTTCATTCAGGCCTCTGCAACTGGCGCGCAGCACAGTGGCGCCGCAGGTGATTCTCGACTCCCTGCTGTGCGAGACGCTGGAGCCCAAACGGGAGGCTCGGCAATCGCCTGCACGGGTGGCCTGGGGGTGTTGTGGATGGCCAGAGGTGATTTGGCAAGGGTGGGGTGGCCAGGGCAGGCTAGATTTGGATGGCTGGTGGGGTAGGTGGGTTTGTACGCATGAATACACATGCACACGTGTAGGCATAAGTGCATGTAATCACATACGCATGCATCTACATACGCGTGTATATACATACCTACTTGTACGGGCGTATGCATTTCTAGACAGGTTTGTGCAACACAGTACATACAGCCGTGATTATAAGTATGTGTGCAAGTATGCGCATTTGCATGTATGCATACACATACGGGTGTATGGCCATTCATACACTCATTCATACACACATACATACATACATACATACATACATACATACATACATACACACATACATACATACATACATACATACACACATACATACATAAACACACGTACATGCATACTTTCATACATACTTCCATACACATGCATACATACATACACGCATTCACGCACACATGCGTTTGTACACATACATACACACACGCATATATGTCTATATATATATACACATTCGTCATTTCACACACATCGATGCAGATCGACATACACATACATACGTACATACACACATACACATACATACACACATACATATACCAGCCAGCGTTGACTCCAAATCGATAGGAGGACAGGAGGAGGACGAGAGGAGGATGGGAGGAGGACGACCGGAGGACTGGAGCAGCACGTGAGGAGAACGGGAGGAGTAAAATCAAGCAAGTGCAAGCAAGCAAGCGGAGGCAAGCAATCGCAAGCGAGCAATAACACGCAAGCAAGAGCCAGCGATCAAGTGCAAGCAAGCACGGGCAAGCAAGAGCAAGCAAGCGAGAGCAAGCAAGCAAGAGCAAGCAATCAATTTCAAGTGAGTGTGCAAGAGCAAGCACGCAAGAGCAAGCAAGCAAGCAAGCAAGCACGTGCACGCAAGCAAGCACGAGCAAGCAAGCATAATACTTCATACGACTCATAGGAATCCATAGGACTCGCCATTGGAAATAGCTGGGGGGTGCCATTGGAAATACGGGGGGGTGCCATTGTAAAAAGGGGGGGGAGGGGGGGGGGCATTGGAAATAAGGGGGGGGTGCCATTGGAAAAGGGGGGGGGTGCTAAAGACCAATTACTTTTGATGAGCTAGGACTCCTATAGGGCAAGCCTATTTGGAGAACAGCCGTACACATAAATGCACACATGCACTCATACATACATGAATGCAGTCAGGTATACATAAACGCACACGTACATACACACATGCATCTATACATACGTACATACGTACACACATACATACATACATACATACATACATGCATGCATGCATACATACACGCATACATACACACATGCACACACATGCACACACATGCATACATGCATACATGCATACATGCATACATGCATGTATGCATACATGCATACATGCATACATGCATACATACATACCTACATACACAAACTCGTAGCAAACGTACATGCATACATACGTACATGCACACCTACACACATGCGTACATGTATACATACATATATACATACATATACACACAAACATATAGACATGTATACACACATACATATACATACGTATACACCTACATACATACATATACACATACATACAGACATACGTACACACATGCATGCATAAACACATACATACATACGTACATGCACACATACAGAGACACATGCATACATACTTACACACATACATACATACGCACGTACATACATGCATACACACATTCATACATACATACATGCATACATGCGCACATTCATACATACGTACATCTATACATGCATACATACATACATACATACTTACATACATACATACATACATACAAGCATACATACATACACGCACACCTACATACATACATACGTACGTACGTACGTACATACATATATACATACAAACATACATACATACTTACATACCTACTTCCCCAAGCAGAGCTCGCCTCCGTAGGGGTCCTAGCGGATCCATATGGTTAGGTGAGGTGCGTCGCCGATTTCGGTGGCCAGCCCAGGTTCCCGGATGCCCGGGTGCCTTGGTGCCTGGGGGTGCCCAGGTGCCCGGGTGCCCGGGTGCTGGGGGGTGCCTGGAGGTGCCCGGGGCTGCCCGGAGGTGCCCGGGGGTGCCCGGAGGTGGCCGGAGGTGCCCGGGTGCTCTATCGCCCTATAGCCAGCCCTAGAGCCCTATAGCCCTGTAGCCATATAGCCCTGTAGCCTTATAGCTCTGTAGCCCTATAGCCCTCTAGCCCTATAGCCTTGTAGCTCTGTAGCCCTATAGCCCTCTAGCCCTCTAGCCCTATAGCTCTATCGCCCTATGTCCCATATAGCCCTATAGCCCTATAGCCCTATAGCCCTATAGCCCTACAGCCCTATAGCCCTATGGCCCTATGGCCTTATAACCCTATAGCCCTATAGCACTCATGGCCTTCATAGCCCTCTCAGACTTCATAAACCTATTGAGCAACGACAAAGGGATTTCATGTAATATCAAAAAGACTCTGATTGGGCTTCGCTCTGGTATCGTTACGTACCTACATGGATACATACATTTGTACACAGACATCAGACATTCGTACATACCTACATACATACACATGCATACATGCATACATATACTAGTACATACATACATGCATTCATACATACATAATTACACATACATCAATGCTTACGTCCACACACATGCATACACGCATACACACATACACACATACATACACAAATGCAAACGTACATACATACATACATACATACATACATACATACATACATACATACATGCATGCATGCATACATACATACATACATACATACGTACGTACGTACGTACGTACGTACGTACGTACGTACATACGTACATACGTACATACATACATACACACATACATACATACACACATGCATACGTATACACAAGCATACATACACATTTTTTGCGTCGGCGGCTGGACAGAGGGCGACTGCTCGGGCGGACAGGCAACAGGGGACACACTGTATGCGACGTAAAGCCGCGAAGCACGAGGGAGGAGGAGGAGTCCCGGCGCGACTGGGAGAGGAAGCCGGGCCCACTCAGGCAAGTCACCGGCTGCGGCAGGGGGAGCGCCGTTGGGGGGGGGGGGGGGCCAGCCTCTGCACTGAGCTGCAACTGGTGGTGGAAGGCAGCCCAGCTACATATATACATACACATACACATACATAGCAATTGACTGGCCTGCAGCTGTCATGAGATGGACACGTGACGGCCCCAGACGCCGGGGCAGACCGAGGACGAGATGAACATACACACATACGCACAGACATACACACATACATGCATCCGTACGTACATACACACATACATACATACATACACATGCATACGTACGTACATTCATCTACACACAAACATACAAACATACATCCACACGTACATACATATACACACATACATACATACATAAAACCATGCACACATAAGTGCCGACATGCACGCGCACACATATACACACACATACATATATAGACATATACATACATGCACACACACATAAGTTCCTACATGCATACACATCTACCTACAATCAATGTGCCCACACTCACACATACGTGCACACATACCTACGTACACACGTACATACATACGTACGTGCATACGCACATGCACATCTGCTTCCGCGGGCTTCGGATACGGCGCGCTCCTCGGCACAGCGGGGGGGATCAAGCCGTGCTCGCAAGGTCCGCGAGAACGAGGTGCGCTTCGCCCCGCCGGGCTACAGGCGCCTGGGAGTGCACGAGGAGGAGGAGGAGGAGGAGGAGGAGGAGGAGGAGGAGGAGGAGGAGGAGGAGGAGGAGGAGGAGGAGGAGGAGGAGGAGGAGGGGGAGGAGGAGGAGGAGGGGGAGGAGGAGGAGGGAGGAGGAGGGAGGAGGGGGAGGAGGGGGAGGAGGAGGAGGAGGAGGAGGAGGAGGAGGAGGAGAGGGATGAGGAGAAGGAGAGGGATGATGATGATGAGAAGGAGAGGGATGATGATGAGGGAGGAGGAGGAGGAGGAGGAGGAGGAGGAGGAGGAGGAGGAGCAGGAGCAGGAGGAGAAGGAGGCTGCTGCAGCTACCCCGCCTCTCCTTTTCCTTCTCCTTCTTGTTTATGCCGCAGTTCCTCCGTGGTCCTGCCGTGATGCCGCTTTCCTCTTTTCTCCTCCTTTTCGCCTCCTTCCTTTGTTCTCCTCCCTTTCCCTCACTTTTCATCCTCCCTTTCCCCTTTCTTCTCCGCCCTTTCCCTTTCTTCCTCCCCTTTCCCATTTTCCTCTCCTCCTCTTCCTCCTCCTCCTTCTCCTCCTCCTTCTCCTCCTCCTCCTCCTCCTCCTCCTCTCTCTTCTTCCCCTTCCCTCCTTCCCTCCTCACCTCCCCTTTCCTCCTCCCTTCCTTGAAAATGCGATCTTGGCTGTTCACGTTGCTGCCTGGCGACTGCGACGAGAGCGTCAGAACCATATTGCAGTCTTGGACGATACGACTAACGCATGTGGCTGTTGTTCGCATGAACGATTGGATGAACTGCTTCATGAATATTTGCAGTATGCTGGCGCCAACCTACTGCAGGATCGGCGCAAGACACACGTACTCCACCTCGAGGCTGTGGACGGCGACATACAACTATTATTCACGTCTTGGGCCCTCATGGGCGAAACTTCGGCGCCCGACGAGTTCAGGATGGATTTTCAGAAACCGATTAATTTATGGCGCCATCGTTCCCCCCGGCCTCAGCTCATGGTTCAGTGTTCTTTGCTTACTGACCCTGTGGATGCGTCATTATCGAAGTATGTGGACGACCTGCACTATTTCATACTTTTGTTTTCGGACGCCTCGGCGAGGCGATTGAGGCTGTTGCTGCCGAGCAGATGCTCACGGATGAGATTTTGTTTTCGTGTGGGTACATCAAACAGAATCTGAAGAAGCAAGTGCATGTTCTCTGGTTCAAGGGATATCACGACAATCGACTTTTCTATGCGTCCCCTGTCGGTGGCGCCCGTGTCTTGCCATACGCCCGTTACCTCGGCACGTACTTCATGCCTGCTGGCACGCTTGGTCCGCGGATCGTGAATGCAAAAAATGCTGCTGCCCGAGGCTGGTGTGCTTACAAGGAGTTCTGGGGTAGCGGGGCGTCTTGGAAAGTCAAACTTGTAAGCGTGGCGCTGGGAGCTCTATTGTCTGCTTCGGAAGATCCGGTCGATTCCCAGGGTGCTGCTGTTGATTGGACGGGCGTTCGCCCCAAGGCCTGGAACTCTCGACGCCTGTGGATATGGTTTGGTCTCACCCCGACGCGATGCGAACTTTTCATACAGCGACTCCGTTGGGATCAACCGATGCTTCGATTGCCCGAAGGCCACACCCAGGTTATTGCGATTCTCTTTGGTCGACTTGCGTTCGAGACTTACGACGCAATGATTGACGGTACACTTACACACGAAGGGAACCCTATTGCTCGATGGACTGTGTGTGATGTATCATGCCCTTTGGCACCCACCGACATGGAGGACTGGATGGACATATGGGGTGGGTCTCTGGCGCAGCTGTTTGAGGATGATTATGTTAAGCACAGGTTTCTCAACGCTGACGTTAGCGCGTTCCGTGAGCTGTACCAGTTGGGCCGTATGGGGCCCATCGTCGACTTAGGTGAGTTCCCTAACGAGGCTGAGGAGGGCTGGGGCACGGCTGAGCTCAGATACAAATGCACCTGCCTCAATGACGACGGGTCCCTGTGTGGTGCTGCGTTCGGATCCCGCAAGGCCCTCGCGATGCACAACCCTTTCACGGAAGGTGGCACGCACGGCAAGACATCGAACATCCTGAAATGCGTCATCACCAACCAGTGCCTGTGTTGCCTGCAAGCGTTTGCGTTCCGGAGGTCGGCAGGATCACATGTGCAGGCCGCGTTTCCCACGGGCACGTGTTGAGTCATTTCTGCTCATGCTGTGTTTCCCATCCTGAGTGTGCCACTTAAACGTCCTATATGTGGTGATGCTTCGTATTATGATTTGGTGCAGCTTCAGTTGCGCATTCGAGATTCTCATCTTCCCCCTCCACCTCGACCTCGTGATGACGGCGATGGCGACAATGGAACCTGCTTGGGCACTCAAGCGCAAGGAAGGGAATACCGCCCCTGGCGCCCCTCCGACGCAGAAAGCAAAAGGCGCTCCTCCAACGCTAGGTTCGGGGTCAGCAGGGGCCTCGGCGCCCCGAGGAGCTGCCGCGCCGCCGCCCGGCCGCGGTCGAGACAGGTTGAAGGTGCCGCGGAAGGATCGGAACGAAGGACTGGGAGCTCTCGCCGACGCGGGGTTCAACAAGGAACAACAGGACGTGGTCGCCGTCTTAATCGAAGAAGTTCCCATGGCGTCTCATATGCTACGAGATCTCTGTGCCCTGGGAGTGGATGCGTGGTTCCCCGGCTCCAACCTGCCAGAGATCGAAGCCGCCCGCAGCGAGGGTCAGAACTACAACGAGAACGTGCGCTCCGCAGGTCAGGGCCACCAGTTAGGTCCACCCCACCTTCACATCTTTCGTGGGTTCGCGAACATGCTTCTAGAGCGTGCGAGCAGTCTGGGGGCCAAGACCTACGGGGAGCTGGTAGTATGGTAGTAGGAGTGGTTTTGCAAGGCAACCCTGGAGGAGGCTTGGGATCAAGTGCGACTGTTCCGCGTCACCGAGTGTTGCGATCAGGGCAAGAAGAAAGTTCACTACTGTATCGCGAGCGTGGGCCAGGCGGAGCAGATGGCGATCCAGGCGGCCGACTCCGCCGCGCGTTCGCTGCCTTCGGGCGCGCGTTTGCGCCAGCTGTTCGTCGGAGCTCTGGCCGAGGCGGGCGGTCGTCGCGCGGTCGGGGCCGCGCCTCCAGGGGCAATGGAAGACATGCTTCAACATAGTTTGCCTGGGTGAGACGCTCTCTGGCATGATGTTTGCACCCTTCGACCTGTGCTTGCTGACGACTGTTGTTTCGTCGCGACGGCCGACGGCGTAATGGCGCATGCGCTTTACTTGCATGTGGTGGTGGATATGGGGCGGTCTTGCTGGGACTGTGTCGGTATGTGCTGTGCCTCCCCCGTGCCTCTGTGCGACGTCGACGGCGCCCTGCTAGTGTGCGACGCTGTGCTGACCGCCGTCCACCTGGTGCCTGACTTCGTGTGCCTGGGCCACTTCCAGGCTTGAGACTGCTGCTGCTGCATTGTCTCTCCATATGTGTAAATAGAGTCAACTGTTACATTCTGTGTAGTGCGTCGCGCCCTGACTCGTCGGTGCGATGGTTCCCCAGGGCCTGCTTTATGTCTGTTGGGGCCTGTCTAGGCCCTCTTGCTTTCTCCTGGTTCAACCCAGCTTCGGTTGACTGCCGTGTAAACTCGCGGAAGTTTTTCGCTGTTCCGTTGCATGCGCACTTACACTGTGCCTACGTTCTAGTTTATGTATATGTGTATATATATATATGTACATACACATACATATATATATATATATATACATATATATATATATATATATATGTATCGAGGTCCTGTGCAGGCCTGCCCCGCCACGGACTTGAGGGAAACGAGGGGCACGGCGTGCCCCTCTGCCGCGTAATTACCCGTAAGGACTTCGCCCCCTGCCTTCGGAAAGTGGGCCATGGAAGAGCGAATTCATGAGGCTTTGGCTTCGCCGTGAAGCAGTGTCGGGACCTGCTTGTTTTTCCCGGAAAGGGCATGGGCCCAGGGTTCTTTTTTAGTAGGTTTAAATGACCCCCCCCCGGTTTTTTGCCGGCGATTTTTTTTTTTTTTTTTTTTTTTTTTTTTTTTTTTTTTTGTTGTTGTTTTGTTTTCTTCTTTTTTTTTCTTCTCTTAATATATATATATATATATATATATATATATATATATATATATATATATATATATATATATATATATTAAAAAAGTGCGTTTCGTGCGTGCCCGCTCGAGGAAAGTGCGCCCCCCATCTCGGATCCTCGATAAAAAAACGGGGTCCGCAGACCCCCGTTTTCCTTCGTAAAAAACAGGGAGCGGAGCGTTTTTGGCAGAATCCTCGACAAATAACGGGGTCTGGAAACCCGACCGCGACGCAGAAAAACGCACCGCGCGCAGGAATTCCGAGGATGTATCGCGCGGGCCGCGTCCCGCGCGCAGGAATGTCGAGGATGTCTCGACTAATTCGCTTGTTTTGCCAGGATTTCTCTGGATTTTGACAGGATGTCTCGAGCGAAACGCTTGTTTTCCAGAATTTGTTGAGGGTGTCTCGAGCGAAACGCTGGTTTTGCAAAATTGGGGGGATGTCTCGAGCGGGAGCCTCGTGGGTGGCCAGAATTGAGAGGATGTCTCCAGCGAAATGCTTGTTTTCACGCCCCGCGCGCAGGAAATCTGAGGATGTATCGCGCGTGCCGCGCCCCGCGCGCAGGAATTTCGAGGATGTCTCGACTAATTCGCTTGTTTAGCCAGGAATTCTTTGGATTTTGACAGGATGTCTCGAGCGAAACGCTATATTTTTGTTTGTTTGTTTGTTCCAGAATTGGTTGAGGATGTCTCGAGCGAAACGGTGGTTTTGCAAACTTGGGGGGATGTCTCGGGCGGGAGCCTCGTGGGTGGCCAGAATTGAGAGGATGTCTCAAGCGAAATGCTTGTTTTCACGTCCCGCTCGCAGGAATTCCGAGGATGTCTCGCGCGTGCCGCGTCCCGCGCGCAGGAATTTTGATGATGTCTCGACTATTTCGTTTGTTTAGCGGGGATTTTTTTTTGGATTTTGTCAGGATGTCTCGGGCGACACGTTTTTTTTTTTTTTTTTTTTTTTTTTTTTTTTTTTTTTTTTTTTTTTTTTTTTTTTTTTTTTTTTTTTTTTTTTTTTTTTTTTCTTCTTCTTCTTCTTCTTCTATCTCTTCATAATTTGTTGAAGATGTCTCGACTAATTCGTTTGTTTTGCCAGGAATTCTTCGGATTTTGACAGGATGTCTCGAGCGAAACGCTTTTTTTTTTTTTTTTTTTTTTTTTTTTTTTTTTTTTTTTTTTTTTTTTTTTTTTTTTTTTTTTTTTTTTCTTCTTCTTTTATATATATATATATATATATGTATGTATATATATATATATATATATATATAATATATATATATATATATATATATTATATATATATATATATATATATATATATATATATATATATATATATTATATATATTATATTATAATGTTGAAGATGTCTCGAGCGAAACGCTGGTTTTGCAAAATTGGGGGGATGTCTCGAGCGGGAGCCTCGTGGGTGGCCAGAATTGAGAGGATGTCTCAAGCGAAATGCTTGTTTTCACGTCCCGCTCGCAGGAATTCAGAGGATGTCTCGCGCGTGCTGCGTCCCGCGCGCATGAATTTTGAGAATGTCTCGGCTAATTCGTTTGTTTAGCGAGATTTCTATGGATTTTGACAGGATGTCTCGAGCGACGCGCTTGTTTTTCATAATTTGTTGAGGATGTCTCGACTAATTTGCTTGTTTTGCCAGGAATTCTTTGGATTTTGACAGGATGTCTCGAGCGAAACGTTTTTTTTTTCTTCTTCAGAATTTGTTGAGGGTGTCTCGAGCGAAACGCTGGTTTTGCAAAATTGGGGGGATGTCTCGAGCGGGGGTCTCGTGGGGTGCCAGAATTCAGAGGATGTCTCAGGCGAAATGCTTGTTTTCACCTCCCGCTCGTAGGAATTCGGAGGATGTCTCGCGTGTGCCGCGTCCCGCGCGCAGGAATGTTGAGGATGTCCTGGCAAATTTGTTTGTTTGGCGAGGATTTCTTTGGATTTTGACAGGATGTCTCGAGCGAAACGCGTTTTTTTTTTTTTTTTTTTTTTTTTTTTTTTTTTTTTTTTTTTTTTTTTTTTTTTTTTTTTTTTCCTCTTCTCAATTTGTTGAGGATGTCTTGAGCGAAACGCTGGCTTTGCAAAATTGGGGGGATGTCTCGAGCGGGGGTCTCGTGGGGTGCCAGAATTCAGAATTCAGAGGATGTCTCAGGCGAAATGCTTGTTTTCACGTCGCGTGGCGCGTCCCCTGGCACATCCCGTGGCGCATCCATTGGCACGTTCCGTAGCGCGTCCCCTTGGCACGTCCCGCGGTGCGACCCCATGGCACGTCCCCTGGCACGTCGCCTGGCGCATCCCTTGGGACGTTTCGCGGCGCGTCCTCCTGGCATGTCCCCCTGTCCATTAGCTCTGGGGCAGCTACTATGTGTTCAGGCAGCTCGAGCTTAAGATCCAGATCAGTTCGGTCAGGACTCGGATGCAAAGGAGGACTCGATCCACGAGGCTATAGAGCACAATCGCGCCATGGCACATCGCAATTCAGCACGGCGCAGCACAGCACAGCCCTCGGCACGGTACATCAAGATCGATACACTCAGCATTGCAATTTGGCACGTTCCTTGGCACGTTCCGTGGGGCGTCCCTTGGCGAGTCCCCCTGGCATCCCGTGGCACATCCATTGGCACGTTCCGTAGCGCGTCCCCTTGGCACGTCCTACGGTGCGACCCCATGGCACGTCCCTTGGCACGTCGCCTGGCGCGTCCCTTGGGACGTTTCGCGACGCGTCCTCCTGGCATGTCCCCCTGTCAATTAGCTCTGGGGCAGCTACTATGTGTTCAGGCAGCTCGAGCTTCAGATCCAGATCAGTTCGGTCAGGACTCGGATGCAAAGGAAGACTCGATCCATGACGCTATAGAGCACAACCGCGGCACGGCACATCGCAATTCAGCACGGTGCAGCACAGCACAGCCCTCGGCACGGTACATCAAGATCGATACAATCAGCATTGCTTTTGCCCGTCACCCAATCAGGTGTCTTTAAAAACGTTGCCATGCGTTACATTTCTATATTCCTTTCCGGGTTCGTGGGTCGATCATGTTTGACCCTTGCCCTACGGATCTGCGTGAGGGGTGCCGCCGAATTTCAGAAATATGAGAGGTGCCACCGAATGTCAGAAATGTGGCAAATCCCATATGTTTTTGGTCCCTGACCCCGCGAATGTCAGAAAAGTGGCAAGTCCCCTTTGTTTTTGGACCCTGGCCCCGCCGATCTGCTTGAGGGTGCTACCGGATTTCAGATTATCCTGGCGAAGGACCCAACCATGTGCAGTGTGAATATCGCATTGCGGGTGCCGCTTTCGGTGGAGCTCCCTGTGGGGCCACGAAACGCTGTGCTGGGTGGGGGTGACGCATGCGGGCGGCACCACTGGGGCCTTCGGTGGAGGTCCCTGTGGGGCCACGAAACGCTGTACTGGGCGGGGGTGACGCATGCGGGCGGCACCACTGGGGCCGTCGGTGGAGCTCCCTGTGGGGCCACGAAACGCTGTGCTGGGTGGGGGTGGCGCATGCGGGCGGCACCACTGGGGCCTTCGGTGGAGCTCCCTGTGGGGCCACGAAATGCTGTGCTGGGGTGGGGGTGACGCATGCGGGCGGCACCACTGGGGCCTTCGGTGGAGCTCCCTGTGGGGCCACG